GGGATCACGCCTGCTATTTGGCGGAGAAGTGTGGCAGGCTTGCAAATGTGTTGAGGTCGCTGTGCGGGGTATGGTGGGGTTCGGACCCGAGGACCCTTCTTTGTGTTTTTAAGGCCTTGGTGCGAGGGTCGATCGAATACGGGGCCTTGCTCTTCCCCACCCACACAGGGAATCTGATGGAGCTTTTGGAAAGAACTCAACGCAAAGCCCTGCGTTATTGTGTGGGTTTGAGGCGAACAACCCCGACTAATGTAATCTATGCGGAAACGGGAATCGGTCCGGTTCGATATCGCTTTGAGTATCTGACAACTAAATTTACTCTCAAATCTTTTGCCCTCAGAGACAATGTCCTTATGGATAGGCTTGATGATCTACAGGCGGCTCTTGTCAACAATAACAGATTTGACTTATATAATAGATTTCCTCTATACAGAGCGTTTTGCAAGGTGAGGGGATATAGGCATAGAATCGCCTCCTTTACCAAAATCCCAACATACCTCTTCTCCTACGAGACTTCGTCCTATACCTCGAGGGTTGAGATGACCCCTCAAACAGAGGTGGAGAACATCCGTCACGCTTCGTTTCCTCAGCTCGTTTTTCAAACTGCCCTCTCGTATCTCATGGAAGAGAGGCACCTCTTTTTTACGGATGCTTCGAAGGAAGAGTCCGGGGATTACATCGGAATGGGCATCTACTCCCCCTTCCCGAATATGGAGAGAAAATTTAGATTAGATGGCTGTTCTTCCGTGTTCTCGGGCGAATGCATCGCTATCATTCATGCGGTGGAATTCATCCTGGAAAGCGGTATTGAGAGGGCAATGGTCCTTACGGACTTCCGCAGTGTGGTTGATGTCATTTCCAACAACAAAATTTATAGGGACCACAACTATTTCATTTTAGTCTTGAAAAATAAGCTGAGGTCGGCGTTCCTCCAGGAGATAGACATAATCCTCACTTGGATTCGGGCCCATGTCGGCATACGGGGTAATGAAGCGAGGGGGGGATTTAAGGCGGTAGGAGGCACGAACCAAGCATCCATCTCTTCCGTGGCAGCGGCACTGTCGTGTCTGTGTAGGGCGTTTACACACTGAGGAAGTCCTCAGCCCGACAAATAATTGTTAGAAAACAACATTTGCGGGTCTGAAAAAATACGCGAGGTACAAGTGGGGTAAAACATAACATTGTTCTTTTTATGTGCTCCCTAGGTTATGTAACAGTTACATATTGGTTTGCTGGGCAATATTTCGAACTCTATTCGCCTTTTTCGCCCGATTCTTGGTTCGCTAAGTCGAGTTTGAATTTGAGCCGCCTTGAAATAACAACAATTAGTCGGATCCGACCAAATCATTACAATCTTAATTACAGCTTAAACAGATGTAACATTGTGGAATCCCCAGCTTGTAACTGCGGGGCACCAGGCCAGGACATAGGCCACGTTCTCTGGTCCTGCCCGTTAGTTGAGCACCATCGTGGCCAGCTCCTCCGCTCCATCCAGCGGAGCCTGGGAGTTCCTCCACCGTACGACGTATTTGTCCTCCTTAAGGATCCCACCTGTGGTGTGATTGCGCCTATTGTTTCCTTCCTTAAAAGGTGCGACATTTCGATTTGACGTTTGACCGTTTGACTTTCGAGCGCATGCACGCCTTCCCCCTCCTGGAATGCTGGGGCGAGATGGAAACATGCAGGAAGAAAATCTGGCAGCATGAACATTTGTTCCTTGCCAACAAAATAAAGAAGAAGAAGCAGTGAGCAGTCGCTATTGAAAAGAGATGCTAAATAAGGTAGACTGTTATTGGCTCACACATCGATTGTTTGCATTGCATTATGGATAATTGGGATTCATGATTTAACCTTCTTATATATAACCTTAAATTAGTTAATTGAAAAATACATTGATAAATCTTTTATCATCCACGAATAGCGCCTATGTGAAAGACTAAATAGTTTAATATCATATTTTTATAAATATTATAAGAAGAGAACAAGTTGTGTGTTGTGTATATATATATATATATATATATATATATATATATATATATATATATATATATATATATATATATATATATATATATATATATATATATATATATATATATATATATATATATATATATATATATATATATATATATATATATATATATATATATATATATATATATATATATGTAAGTGTATATATATAACTGTATATATAAATTATATGACAGGTGTATTCTTTGTAACGTTGAAAAAAAATACGTTTTATATCTAACATACATTATGTTGGAAAAACCACCCGGTCCGGATAATCAATTATCCAAGGAAGATTATTTAATAATGAGAGCTAAAGAAGCGTTGCCGATCGATATTTATGCTGCGAAATCGTGGCTAATTACTGCAAAATCTTTATTTCCGCATAGTGCGAAAGTTCAGGTAAGAATATTCCATCATTTCATTAACTCCTTTTTTATTTTTTTTTAATTTTCCATAAATTGATAATAATAATAATCAATGATATATGCTGAAAATTAATGGTTTTGCAATAACTAGGGTTGAAACTAGTGTATAGTTATATAATAATTATATGGATATACATAGTATGCTAATTCCTTATAGGAATCTATATTGCTATATAGGAATCTTATATTGCTTTCAGTTTGAAGCGTATCGAATCGAAAAACTGTCAAAGAATGTAAAAGAAGCAGCAAAATGCTTCAGCGAAATGTGAGTACTGATTACTATGCGAAATTTATATGTATATGAGAGACTTTCTTTCTAATAATCTTAAATTATATAAATATAGATTTCAAAATTTTCCGGACGATCGTGACATATGGAAAGAGATAGAAATGGTGACGACATGTCTTCGCTTGGAACAGTGCGACAGCGAGGCAGAATTTTTGTGCCAAATGTTTCAACACATTCCGCAGGATTTACAACACAGATTGCTTGTGATGACAGCTGATCACAGCGAAGACACGATGGAGCATTGTAAATTATTGCTCTTATTGCTACGCAGATTTCCTCAAACTATAGCAACTCATGGAGTATGTACCTTAAAATATCTAAATTATTTTATTAAATTAATTAAATATGTTTAGGTCTTTTTTATTTTTTTTTAAATTTTATTCGTTTATGTAATATTTTAGCCACGTTTGGTGGAGACTCTCTTAACCGCCGAGAAACATAGCCATCCAGGCCGAGCTGTGAACGGTTTCAGAAGATTATTGGCGTGCGATGCATTGCCATTGCTTGGTGCTGCTCCAGTAGAATTGAATCCTCGTCTCAGTTTAAGATTGCTCTGTAAGGCTGTAGAATTTTACTTAGCGTATATACAGCAGCCACAGGATGGGCAAATTCAAAATCCATGGGACAGACTTTTCCAAATTGTGGAATTAATAGGCAAGAAATTAGGGTGGGAATTGAGTAGTTTATTTTCTACACCTTGGAGTCGCGACACGTACAGCGATAGATTACAACAGTATGCAATTACGCACAGTACAGGTCTGTGCGATGAGCTTATAGTCAGACAATTACTGATGTGTACAGTTGTAATATTATTGAGAATATTGAACGAACACGCTACTCTTATTAACAATGACGAGACACTATATTGCTTAGTAGAGGCTTTTGGAGAAGGAATACATTCTTCCACAGGTGAAATATTATATTCACGAAAGTGATATATTCGAAAGTGATTACAAGCTTTATATTTATCTCTTGAATTCTGTAAACCAGAGCCGAAATTGAAAAAACGAAAACGAGAGGATAATACGGGTATAATAATAACCAGTGACAGTGATTACAACGGCAATGGTCTAGCATTGGCAGTAAAATTATGGGACTTATTGCACAGTAGTGACTATCTTCAAAGAGAAATCGGCAAACTGAGTCAACAGTTACGACTAGATACCTGGTTAAACCTATTCTTAACAGATTTGGCGACGTACAAAGGCTTACATCATGAAGTATTAGCCAGGTTGTCGCAAGAAGGCAGTAATTTATCTGTTAATCTTCGTTTGGCCAGCACATGTTTCTTTTTGAGAGATTATAAGGTGTGCTATAGTTATAATCGTACATGATTATATTTTTATTTCCATATATTTCCTCTCTTTTTTCAAAGCTATTAAAATAATCTCTTTCTTAGATAATGTTGGAGCATATTGTTCTGGTAGCAAGTTCATTACCCACTGTATCAGGCAAGGTATCTCACAATTTGACCGTTCCAAGCGTAAGGCATTTACATTATTTGACTCTCGCCCGTTTCCCTATTTTACAATATTGTTGCAAATTGCTTCTTTTAGCTATAAAGGTAATAGCTTCTTCTCGTAATATATATATATACATATGATTGGTATCGACCAGTATACGATTGTGATTACGATTCTAGGAAAATTTTTCATTACTTGGAAATGTCGGAGACTTGGCTATTGGACATGCATTGATCTTAATACAGATAGATTGGCCGCAAGAAGCTAGTACTTTGACTGCGATAATGGAACGAATTCTTAGTCGCGGAAGTTTTTCTTATCCGTTCTTCCAAACGTATATAATATGCGTAGATATTTTGGAAGAATTAACATATTTATGGACTGAACATGGTGGTGGAATATCATTGGACATAACTGCAGGCGCGGGGGTTTTACAAAGTATATTTTTTTTTTTTTTCGATATGTTCATACCGCACAGATGTGAGATAAATTAAAATAATCATAATTATTTTAGATCGCCGTATCGCTACTCGCGGTGCTGATAAAGGAGTGCGCGAGGAGGTGAAGCAAGCCATGCGTCGACAAGCCGCACGAGACGGCATTGATCCTCTAGACGAATTGTTACAGAAATTCATAGTCGACGATAAAGCCGCCATCTTACATGCTTTAATTATTTCATGAATTAACTTTGGATCTTGCTATTCGTTGTCGTGACTTGTGATACACAGCAAAATTTTATATTTGAAATATTTAGAAACAATTATGTTGTTTTATTTAGTAACAATATAAAAGACATTTTGCAAATACTTTGTGAAGATTTTATAGATTGATGTACAGAGATTTATACAATTAAAAAAACGTTGCTATTATTTATCGCACAAAATCCCAATTTACATATTAAATATATATTGACCACAAAGTGGAAATTAAAATTTTGAGATTTATAAAAAACAAGTTCTTAATTTTTATTTCTCGTAACAGATTTTAATATTATAATTATATACATATATTATTATTAAAATCAGCTTTTCTTCACATTTTGCCTTGAAATCTTTTATATAGATATCGTCTGTAAATATATCTCGTTATCTCCTTATACGCATATATGTAAATAACAATAAATGATCATTGATAATTAACAAAATTATAAAGTTAATTATAAAGTACTCTGAACTCTAATAAAATATACAATTTTCAAAGCAGAGTATATAAAATGTGAATAAACGACATGCGTGATTCACGTCTGAATATCGTTATGCTATAGCTATATTAATGATGTATACTGATTGTTATATAAAGTTAATGCACAAATAAATATGCACAAATGAATATTTAGAATTATAAAAATTCACGAGTATAATGTATAATGTGGGCAATTAAATGTACGATTCTATCTAATGTAAACGCTTAGTTGAAGGGCACTTAGAAGTAATACTTTAATCCCAGGCATAAAGGAAGCTATTTGACTAAAATCTGGTCCTGATACTAATTGCGTATGTAAATCTAATCCTCCTGTATAATTGCCATTTTGTATCATCTGTGATATCTGATGTAATCCTTGTAAAGTATTCTGAGATAACTGGAAAAAAAGGATACAGTTATAAATTTTGAAAATGCATATAATGTACAATAATGTACAATTGACTTACCTTATTCTCTCTAAGGCAATCGTACAGCACTTCTAGTTTTTTAGATACATCTTCTATCTTCTTTTTGATTTGCTAGGAAAATAACACAAGTTCGATTATCCAATATTAAACGATAAAAAATATGTAAAATAATATAAAATAATGTAAGTAAATTTATACAGTTACTTTATTATTACGAATATTATATTTGCATATATAATATAATTTGCCTATGCAGGATGTCCCAGATCATTTGGGACAATACTCGTGTGCAGATAGAGCGGACCAAACTGAGTCGAAAAGTCCTCTATCATTTTTTTTTTTATAACGCTTAATAAAGGAGTTATTATTGAGTTAAGTCTGGCCAATCAGCGCCGATCTTTAGCCGGGCGCATGTCGGTGAGCCGCGCGCCTGGTAGTATGCGGCAGCGCATACTTCACGGCGCGCGGCTCACCGACTTGCGCCCGGCTAAAGGTTGGCGCTGATTGACCAGACTTAACTCAATAATAACTCCTTTATTAAGCGTTATAAAAAAAAAATGATAGAGGACTTTTCGACTCAGTTTGGTCCGCTCTATCTGCACACGGGTATTGTCCCAAATGATCTGGGACACCCTGTATAATATAATGTGTATGTTAACTATCAACTGTCACTCTTACCGGATTCTTTGCATTTTCGTAACACTGATTTTTTAATTCATCTAGTATTGTTTTCAGATGTATATGTTGCTCAGGAATAGGTGCTTTAGATTTTTCTGGTTCAACCAATTTTGCAGGAACAGCAGGCATCGCAGGTAATAATGGTTCAACTGGTTTGTTAACTGGCGCAGTATTCGACATGCTTTGACCATATTGCACATTATAAGGTGAGTGATGTTCTTGATAAAAATTATCTTGTGGTATTGGCTAAAGCAGTTGAATAAAAAAGCAGTTTGTTAAAACATAATCGTACAAGTATATTTAAAAAAAATATGACTATCAAAAAAAATACAAATATATACAGAAATCTTTTATATGTATATATGTATATATATATAAACTTACACTCGGTTCTGGTTGACTACTTCGCAATGGATGCAAAATTGGATTTTGCGGTTGATATTCGGTTTTTGGCTGAAAAAATATAAATATCATTCTTTCTCGATCATTTATCTTTACTTTAGGCTTTTCTTAAAACTTTCAGCCACTTTGCAGAGGTGATTGATGACGCGTTTATAGCATCGTGAAAATAAATGTATAAGCTTTCAACTCGCCAAAATTTACTTTGACATTTAAAGTGGATGATAATGTCAATAATAAATATACGAAAAAATTATTGATTCTTGTAAAATTTATGATAAAATATGAATATAAATGATAAAAATCTGCATGACACCGGTTTCAAAATTTGCAAAGCAGTTTGAACACTTTGTACAACACACTTATTAGTTTTATATCACACGTGTATAAGAATGTTTCATATCATAATTCAGTTAGATTAATCCTATTAATGAACTATAGGAGAACACATGGATAACAATAACAGTAATGATTCTACAATTATAATGAGATATTGTAGAATGTAACATTTTCAAAGTGTGAAATCAGCTACCTTAATGTCTATACCCTTTGAATGCTTTGCCTTCCACTTTCTGGTACCCGCATGTTCCGCGGACATTTCGTTTGCGTTGTATAGTGCCAGAACTGGCTACATCATTTTAATACATATATACTTATATCAATAATGTAAGTAATTTTTGAATGATAGGACAATAGCGTGCGTGAGCTATCAATCGAGACTAAACTAAATGCGATTGAATAAAATCGAAATTGGATTTACCTGTGCTTTAGAACTTTTCACATTCGGCGGGTCATTCCATCCAGATGCTTGTGGTGGCAATTGATACACGTTTCCGTTCCCGTGGGTCTGCATTTGTGGAGGAGGCTGAGCTCTGATAGGGTCATACATTTGAGTCTGAGGCGTGTTTTGCTGCAATGGAGGCTGCATTACGTTCGGCTGAAGCGGCTTGTATGACTCGGGTTCTTTAGGATTATTCACGTAACTTGGCGGTTGACTGGCATAGGTATTCGACATAGAAACTTGAGGTTGATAAGCGTTTTGTAGAGGATACCCGGGAATCGGGGCGATTTGTTGAGAATTATACAACTGATTCGACGACGGAAAACTGCTCTGACTGTATGTGGGAGTGGATTTTACAGACGGATCAATCAGATATTTTGATCTCAACTGCGGTCCGACACTGGACGGTCTTGAGCCACTATTCAAACTGGAACCCGACGGAGGTGGCGGAGGAGGAGGCTGGGCCGCTGGAATTTGATTATACGAGTGCGGTGCGGAATATTGATCGTAGATTGTAGACTGCGTTTGAGGTTGAGGTGTTGGCATTCCGTAAAACTGAGGATTGAGTGTCTGATTTGTAGAAGCACCATAAGCCTGTTTCAGTGGAGTCGTGTTCCAGCTCTGCACAGGTGTCATCTGCTGTATCGGCTGTTGCAGCGGATTGTACGTGTTTTGCAAGTTTTGCGTAGGTATTGCCTGCTGTAACGGCTGTTGCAGCGGATTGTACGCGTTTTGCAAGTTCTGCGACGGTCTTTCCGGTATAGTCTGTTCATAATGATGATAGTTTTGACCTGCAGGTTTCGCGACGCTCCTCTGCTCCTGTACGTAACTCAGAGCTTTACACAAACGATCCCTCAACATTGAAACTCTCTGCTCTTGACTGTTTCCGAGATAATTCAGAGCAGCCTCTAAATCGCCCTCCGCCGCCAGCATCTCGGCATACTGAGATAGTACAGAGGCGATTCTGTCTTGTATATGAATTTCCCTGATACCCTGGAGCTCCAAGGCTTTCTGCATTATTACAACTAATTCCACCACTTCTTGGATGTCGGCGTTGGACACTTCAACCAACTTATTCAAGTTGCCAGAGCAAATGTAACAGATTTGCGCTTGCTTTTTGAGAGCGGGGTTTTCGCATGTTGCCAAACGATCGCCGAGCATATCTATTATATACAGTTCGTATTGTGAAATATGACAAATAATTGTAATAAAAATTATTTCTATAACTTTATTTGCATCCTTACCACACAGAGCAGATCGTTCCTGCGTATTGGAATTTGTAAATATACCGACTAACGCCTCCTTCCAGCACTTTATGTCACTATTCTTAACAACTTCTGTCCAATTCTCGCTAAGTAGTGAATTGATAAGAGAATTTAATGCACTGGAATGCTCTGAAAAGTACCTGTACTGGGTACGCGCTAGTAGCTCAGGACCAGCGGCCATTGAAAGAATTATAGCATCGGCGTATCTTTTACTAGTAAAGCACAAAGATACCGCGGCCTCAATGTTTCCTAAGAGGATAGCTTGAGTGATAAGACCATCCTCATCTACAAAACAATGCCAGTCAATTATTTAAAAATTCCTTTTGTTTTTTTAGATTATAGTAACAGAGCTATCAATATGTGCTAATTACCATCAGAAGTATTTATAGTGTAAGTATTATCTGCAGATTTGTTTGATGGTACTAATTTCTTGCCTTGTTCTTGTGCAATGGTATCAAATGCAGTACTGCCGACTATAGCATTTCCATTTAGTACCTAAATTAAATGAGAGATGCATAATTGATATTAGAATAATAAAAAAGAGAGAGCGAGAAAGAATATATATGATGTAAACATCAGTCAAGTCTTACATTGTTAAGATTAGAGACACCTTCTATGATATTCGTCATGTCGTCCTGAGGTACAAACTGATTCAGTTTGTTATTCATTATATCAATATTGTAACCCAATAATTCTAATATACTCTTTGTCACATTGTCATCAAAGTAAGCACGCACGCAGCACCAGATTTTCTTGGTGTGCTCATCTGGAGACTTCTCCATCTTTTCTTTACAGAAATCACTGTATTGCTCAGTCTCCAATGTTGCTTTTAATTTGTTGGAACGTTGAATAAGATTTGGCTGTGTGATTATTTGTGCTATAATAACTTTCCTGTTTGAATCACCCTTTCTGCTTGCTAAATCGACAGGTTGATTTTCAAAAATTACCAATTTACCACCAAACTAGAAATCATATTAATTTTTATTAGATAATTCTTATTTTTTATTATAAATAAATGGTTGTTTAATGAACAGGTAATGAAGTAAATTTTATTTATGAAGCAAAGTTAAAAACTCACTCCAAACGATGCTCCAAATGGCCTCTTTAACCATTTGGGAGCTTTTGTTAATACTGCTGTTGTTCCTATTTGTACTGTAGATTGGGTAAAGAGATCCATTCCTGGGAATGAATCCATTATCTTATTGGATGTTTCTTGCTGTTGTCCACCTAGTAAAGAATACACAACAGCATGACCATCAAAGCTGCTGCCAACAATTAATCCTGGATATCTTGGACACCAAGATACATCAAAGTTCCATTGAGCTGTTTGGGCTAACTCACATATCACCTCACCATTCTATCATTAAAGAATATATTAATACTCAAGTCTAATAAATTTTTCTTTAAAAAAAAAATGTATTGCATAATACCGGTGCATTTGAGTTGGGATTCCAGCAGAGAATTCTGTTATCCTTGGCACAGCTCAAAAGTAGGTCCGAATCATGCGGATTCCATGCAATTGAAAGGACACCACGCTGATGACCTTGCAACGTTTTTAAAGGCGATGTTGGAACCCTTACATCCCATAATTCAATAATAGGTGTTTGATCGTCCTCGGATGCTAAGCACAATTGTGTTCCAATGTCTGGATGCCACTGGGCAACTTTCCAACGTACCTACAGCCAAAATGTAACAATTGTTTGAAGATTTTCTCTAAACATATTCTTACATATTGTATCAGTCAAGATGAAAAAAAAATTGTATACCCTCGAGTTTGTGTCTGACAGTTTAAATATCGGTTTCTTGTCTTTCACATTCCATATAATGCAACATTGTGAAAATGTGGAAGCAAGAATGTGTTTTAAATGTACTGTAAAATGAAATAAGAAAAATATTAATTTTCAAGCTCAAATTTGCATAGAAATAAACTATTCCTGGCATCCGTATGCAATTTCTTTGATTACAATCTAACAGAAGAACCTTGCTTGTTCCAAGCAATGTGTTGGACATCTTCTGATTGCTGACTTCTGGAGAGAGTTGTCGGTGTGTTTGTGTTAATATCCCAAATATAGATCTCGCTCTCCGTTGCACCTGTAGCCAAATGGTTTTCTTCTCGAAAAGGATTAAAATCCATTGCTCTAACAGGACCAACATGTCGATGAGGGCTACTTATCAAACAATTACTTTCTCTGGCTAATAACTTAGCGGCAGAATAGATTTTTATAGTGCCATCCTCACAACCTCCAACAATTATGCCTGCTGGGTTATTACCATAAGATCCCCAAATAATTTTGTGAAACCTACAGATCAATAATAAATGTATACAATAGTGGCTAAGCAACAGATTAAACAAATTTAATTTTCCATCAACTATACTGACCTGTGATCACTAGGGACACTGGCTCGGAGTTCCATTTCATATCCTGGTTGTTGTAAATTCAGTGAGTACAAATCTAAACTAGCAGATGTACTGAAGCTCGCATCCAGTTGCTGCGCTGCCGTTCCAGCAGCCAACATAATGGGATGTTGAGCTGGTGGAGACCATGCTACATTCACAGTCTTCAGCAGTTCCTTGACTTTCATCTGCATATACAATAGAAAAAAAATCTACTCTTAGTATTTTACGAAATAATATTTTATAATATCAGACATATATTATTAGTTTTATATTATTATTATACTCTTATTAAACGATGTTTTTTAATAGCTATTGATATCATATAGGAGTGCACAGAAGCTCGAGTAATAGAAGTTAATCGCATAAAATCAGAGGATGTTGTCAAAAAATGTTAGCCATCATTAAGTGAATCGGGATGAATTTATCGCGCTCTCTCGAGTCGTTCCATATGTTGATGGAGATCGGTGTCTCACCTTGACGGTATTTTCGGGCAATTGTAAACAGAGATTTTATATGAAACGTACGTCCCTCTCTCGGATTTGCAATTCTCTGGTAACGATCTGTATTCCGTGTCAAAAGCCTTCCAACGTGGCGAGTCGTGCCGTACGGTCAGTCGATACCCTGTGCCCTGTACCTTTAGTACAATCTAGGGAATTCTCAGCGCTACCAAAGCGCTTCCATTGCGCGCATTGGTTAAATCGGAACGACTTTCTATGCAGTCTACGCGCGTAAAGCCTATCACACCAGAGAGAAGAATGATGGTGCCATTACATGGAGCGCGGAAACGCGGATTAGCGTAACGCGGAACGAGAGTGAAACTAATCGCGAGCATTGTGCAGTTTTTGTTACGCTCGCGATTGGTTCCCTTCTCGTTCAGCGTTAAGCCCGGTCTACATAGGACGCAACACGCCAGACGCAAGCAAAATCGACCAATCATAGTCGAATATCAATCTCAATCTTCAATGCGTAGTCTGATACGGGCTTAAAGCCTATCACACCAGAGAGAAGAATGAGGGTGCCATTACATGGAGCGCGGAAACGCGGATTAGCGTAAC